TGACTTTTTATAAAATTGGATTTTATATTGGAATTTATTTTTTTTAACCATATTTTGGATCGTTATTTGTTCATTGACAATGTCAATTTCCATTCTGTTTCTCTCTTTTCTTCTTCCCTTTTCCTATTCTTTTTCTCTCGAATAAAAGAATGGAAGAATAAAGCCATCATTTTTTTGCATTTGCCGATCATAAAAAGCGAGGTAATTGTTAAAGCAGTTTTAATGTCTTGGTAGTTTTCACGAATTCATCTTTGGAGTTCTATGTAAAATATTCAGAGTAAATTAGAAATCGATGCAAATTTGACCCGACCCTAAAAATAATCTTCTAAAAATAAAGCGACCCATATTATTAACAGATTGTCTCACATTATTTTTATTATTTTAGAATATTTCATTTAGAAATGTAAAAGTTTTAGCCATATGCAACATTTTGTCCTTTCAATTTACGCAATGTACCTTAATTGTTTTATTTTATTAATTCCACTGAAATGTTTTATTCATGTACGTACAAAGAAATTAAATTACAGTTTGCTTCCAGTCCAACCTCGATTTGATTGAAAGTACAGGCTCAGTGTTCTCCGTTGGTTAGCGTTTTCAAATTTCCTGCTAGAGAACAGCTAGATTTCTGCTCCGCCTGCACCCATATAGATAATCATCTTTGCAGTGCCGTATTACCTTACGACAGAATGACATATTCATATTTAACAGATTCAACCGTGTTTTGAAGAATACCTGTCTTTCGTGAATGTAACAAATGTAATTTGATTCTGTAGATTTGTCGTAGTCGGTATATCCACATCTTTTTATATGTTTTTTAGAGGAATAAAAAATATTTTTGTAATTTCTCATTAATTGATTTATTTTATATAATAATGTCATAAGTCACCTAATTGTTGTTCATTTAGGATTTAGTTAAGCAATTAAATAATTATATAAATTTTCGAAAAGATGAAATATTCCGTAGCAGTATTAAATTAATTCATGTAAATTAATAATTATAATCAAAAATAATAAGCTCTAAAAAATTTGAAACTAAAACTTTTAACTACATACTAGTTATCTGGACTAAATAATCTTAATATAAAAATTTTATATCTCTCTCTCTCTCTCTCTCTCTCTCTCTCTCTCTCTCTCTCT